GCATATGAGTAGTTGGTGGTCTGTTCCACAGTCAGCTCCTGGCCTAGTTTTCACAGCTGATATTGAGCTTCTCCAGCGGTTCTTTCCACATATGTAATCGATCTGATTCCTATGCATACCATCAGGTGAAATCCAGGTATATAACCTGCATTTATGTCTCTTAAAAAAAGGTATGGAGACAGAATACATCCCTGGTATACACCCTTTCCGATTTTGAACCATGCAGTGTCTCCTTCCTCTGTTCTGATTGCCTCTTGGTTTGAGTATAGGTTTCACATAAGCACAATCAAATATTCTTGGATTCTCATTCTTCTCAAGAGTCAGCCACAATGTATTGTGATCCATACAGTCGAAAGCCTTTGCATAGTCAATGAAAACATAGATAGATATTCCTCTGGTACTCTCTGCTTTCAGCCAAGATCCATCTAACATTAGTTATAATATTCCTAGTACCACGGTCTCTTCTAAACCCAGCCTGCACATTTGGCAGTTCTCTGTTGACATATTGCTCTGGTCGTTTTAATATTTTGTTCAGCCGAATCTTGCTTGCATTTGATATTAAAAGTATTGTTCGGTAATTTCTGCACTCTGTCGGGTCACCATTCTTTGGGATGGGAACAAATATTGATCTCTTCCAGTCATTTGGGGGCTGATTAGATATGGTAATTAATCAAAGGTAATTACTGCTATAAACAAAATGTCTACGCATGATTGTATGAAAAACAGTAATATTTAGAATACCATCACTAATATAATAAATACCAGGTGCTATTTCAATAATTGAGTAAGGAAAAAAACACAACACCTACTTAGCCTGCAAGAATCTGAAATCTCTATCATCTTCTTTCCTATCTTCTCAGTGACCCAGAGACACTTTTATCCAACTTCCACTGCCAAGAAGCAAGCCCTCACATTGCAGTAGAATGAAAACTCCAGAAACCCTCAGTGGTCCACTATGGTTCTATGCCATGTCGCACCACTGTGATGCACACAAGGTGCGCTTACACCTCTGTCTTAATTACACTTTAGAGTCTTAGAGAGACATTATGTGCACAAATCTCAACTCTACTCCAAGCAAGGATCAGGACTAGGAGATGTAGATAAAGCATGAGTTTAAAGCTGTCTGATACTGTCTCATACTTTTGTTGTTGATTGCCATGGAGTCAAGCACAACCGATAGTGACCTATGAACAAAAGACTTGAGGCCTTTCTCTAACTACTGTCATTTCTCAAAGTTCAGAGTGTTTCCAAAGGAATGTTGTTTAGGAAGTGGATGTAACTCCTGACTTATTAAAAAAAAAACCCATATTCAGGCTGGGAGTCCAACTCCTTACCACTAGACCAACAGAGCTCTTTAACAAATGATAAAATAGACTTGTACCTATTATCACACACCTTTTTCTTAATTTTATTTCTAGGCTATTGAGTTGGCAATTTTTTTAAACTGTAACTAATCTAGAAAAATATATTGAAAAGAAAATCTACATGTAAGTAGACTCATGCAGTTTAAATTCATGTTCTTCAAGGGTCAACTGTATGACACTGCTACAATTTTCTCAATGGTTTATAATTTTTACCATTTAGGTTTATATCGTCAAATATATACTATATAAGTTTCATTCCAATTAGTCAGTATCTCTAAGGTTACTCTGAATTATTTTAATTTGAAAAATGAAAGAAAATATAAGCAGAAAAAGAAAATATAATGAAACACATGGTCTAGAATTTTGTATATATTTACAACTTTGGTATGGTGAACTTCATTAGTAGCATGCTTGAGAATCAACTTAAAATATCACTATCATCAATATCAGATACTAGAAGAAAACATGAAATTTAAAGATAATTTTTTTTAAAAATGTACCTTTTTTTTCTCCCATACATTCTTTAGGTTCACTAGCTTTTTTTCCATTTTTTCCATTGGGAAAGTATTTTTCAAATCCTGTTAAGAAAAAAACAACACAACACCCTCAAACTAAAATTCATCAGAGTCTAGCTAAGTATGATACACACACTTACCTGTTTTAAAAGCTGCTATTGTACTTTTTAAAAACAGGTATAGGCATATAGGAAATCAGACTCTAAACAGGAGTTCAAATAAAAAAGACTCTGAATAAGATGGACTGGTGTAGTAGCTGCAAGACTGGGCAGGCACAGCAGAGACAGGGAGGCTGGTGCAGAACCAGGCAACGCTATGCTCCATTATACACAAGGTCATAGTAGGAACTGATTCAAAGGCACTTAACAAAGTCTCCATTCACAACCTAGAGATTTTAAAGAGAGAGCTGATTTGCACACTAATTTCATTAAGCTGTAAACGTGCTATTACATTTAAAGGTTATTCACGTTCATCACTGCAATCAGACAAAAACTGGAGAGAGAAAAGAATGGGTTACAAAAAGACACAGAAGGTAAAGATCATATGACACCAGTTTAACACCTGACAGTCACACCTGAATTTTTACCTTTTGGAGGCTGAGAACAGAATCTCTGATAAACAACCAATACATCTCTCAGGAGAGAATTTCTGCTGGCTGCTGCTCTGGTTGTAGCAAATCGACAGAACTGAAAAGTAACATGGAAATGAAAATGTGAGGATCACATCAAGATAAAAGTTTGAAAGAGTTTTATATTCCCTATAAGCCAAATGTTTACCGCTTCAAAAAGTAGTCAGAGACTCACAAAGAATAAACACTAATTTCTATCTAGCCAAATGCTATTCTATTCTAGTAATCAAAAGGCATCAATTACAAAGATGGTAAATATACTGTGAAATGTGATATACTCTAATGTTACAAATATCATTTGCTTAACAACACTTTCATTTTGCTACTGTGAACTTAATAGCAATCTGAAGTTAAACCCTGAAACTTTGACCTAGGAAAAGCTGCTGCTTCATGTTCTTTTACAAGGTCTATGACATTACAAGACATGATCTAACTGACCTTAGCTCAAAGATAAAATTACGATCTAAAAATCACTAACACTACTTATAAATGGCAACACCTATTAAGATATTTTATATACTGTCATCTTATACCAGATGCTTCTAAAAAGTGCAATCCAGATAAATCAAAGTACAATGTAAGCACAAACTGAAGAGTTTTATTAAATCTTTAGTTGCACAATTAAGAGTAATCAATGGGATTACTGAACGGATATACGCAAATTAAGCATTAAGAATTTTCAGGTATCAAATCCCTATGCACATCCAAAAACTTCTCCAACAGGGTCAAAAGGGAAGCCACAGACTGGGAAAAAGTGTTGGGTAATGACATGTCAGATAAGGGACTTATATCTAGAATTTATAAAATACTTGAGCACCACAACAAGATAAAGGTAAATAATCCAATAGAAAAATGGGCATAGGATATGAACAGACACTTCACCAAGGAAGACATTCAGATGGCCAACAAGCACATGAAGAAATGTTCAAAATCCCTAGACCTGAGAGAGAGACAACTATGAGATATTATCTCACCCCAGTAAGACTAGCAAAATTTAACAGAACAGCAAGCAACAAATGCTGGCAAGGTTGTAGAGAGACTGGAACCATTATTCACTGTTGGTGGAAGTGTAAAATGGTGCAACCACTGTGAAAAGCGGTGTGGCACTTTCTCAAAAAGTTGCAAATAGTGATACCACTTGACCCAGTAATTCCACTACTGGGAATATACCCTAAAGAGACCATAACCGACATCCAAGCAGATATATGCACACCCATATTTATCACCACTTTGTTCACAATAGCAAGGAGTTGGAAACCACCCGGGTGCCCATCAACAAATGAATGGATAGAGAAGCTGTGGTATATTCACACAATGGAATACTATGCTACATTGAAAAAACAAGGAACTCATGCAAAATTATTCAAAATGGGTGACCCTGGAGGACATTAAGCTGAGTGAAATAGCTCAGTCACAAAAGGACAAACAGTGCATAGTGCCACTGCTGTAGAATGGGACTGACATCATGGTTAGGGTAAGAATGAGAAAAACTGGATGAATTATGTATACTGCATTGAAACCGATGAGGGAGAGAACAGTTTAAAAGCAATATATTTTAGGGCATTATGATTATCATAATAGTCCGGAATGAAAGTTGCAGAGTGGCATATACTCGGGGGCGGGGGGGGGGGGCCACACAGGGGGGATTGTATACCAATGAGGGAATTTTTCTTTTACTTTTCAAAGAGAAGAGCGAACTGGAGGTGTGGTGGGCAGGGAGAAAAGTGCAACAATGAATAAATGGAAATCCAAAATCTCTGTAAATGTTCATTGAAATTAATAAAAAAGTATATGAATGATTGTATAAAACATAATGTATATGAATGAAACATAATGTAAATAAATTATATGAAAATCAATAAAAATATTTTTAAAAAACAGGTAAAAGGGGAAAAAAAGAATTTTCAGGTATCCTATCCTTTTGCAAAGTAAAAAACCCAACACCCTAGGGAGCTCTGGTGGCCTAGAGGCAAGAAGCTGCACTACAATCCTAAAGGTAAACAGTTCGAATCCACCAGATGCTCCACTGGAGAAGGAGGAACAATCTCCTTCTGCGTCAGTCAGATCCAACACCATGGTACACAACAAGGGGAAAAAAAATAAAAACCACCAAAAAAAAACCCCAACACCCTATTTTTAGGGAAAGAGGAAAAAGTTTCTAAATTCAGATGGGAATATTTAAAGTGACGTCCACCCTCATTAGCATTCACTTGCCAGTTGATGAGAAAAATAAAACTTCATAAAGCAAAGCCTTGTCATGCCAGTGAAGACAGGACCAAATAGGACCAAGTAAAGCCATGTCATGCCAATGAAGCCAGGTCCAGACAGAACCAAGTGCTGGGGATGTATAATGATATAATCACTTTCAAAAAGTCTGGCAGTGTCTCAAATTGTTAAATAGAGCACTTGCAGGTATGTACCCAAGAAAAGTGAAATCATAGGTTCACACAACACTTGTACATGAACGTTACATAACAGACAAAACATAGTAATAAGTCAAGAGCCGAAACAATGCCAAATATCAAATGATGTTATTCTAGTTGTGTGCTTAGCTGACCCTCCAGTATGTTATCAGCTGTAAAACTTGTAAACTCTATGGGAGGAGACTGCCCATCTCTCTTCTTCAGAGTAGTCAACTCTGAGTGCTGGACAGTGAATAAGGATGACAGAAGATCGATGATGCCTTTGAGTTGTGAGCGGACAGCACTGAATACCGCATGGGCTTCCAAAAGAACAAATCAATTCATCTTAGAGAAAAGCACAGCAAGAACATTCCTTAGAGGCAAGGATGATCACACTTTGTCTCACATACTTTGTCTGGGACATCATGCCAGGAATGGTCAGCCAAAGAGAGAAACTCCCTCAACAAGATGGATTGACAGTAACATTTACTGTAACAGTAAATCAGGAATAGTGAGGATGGCACAAGGCAAGGGCAAGGTTCACAGGGTTGTTAGGAGTCATAGTAGACTTGACCGCACCTAACACCACCACCATGACCACTAAAGGCAGAAAGCAAGAAGAGATTTTCAGTGTGCAAATGATGATAATTACAACACAAAAAGATGGAAGCTTAAGTACAGAACTTCTAAATGGAGAAGAAATCAAGGAGGTTTCAAGTTAAGTAGACTGTTTAGACTTGGGAATAAAATAGTAACTTACAGAATAACTTCCAAGAAAATTAGTTAACAAAATTAAGAGGAAAATAAGAAGGACTTAGAAAACACTAAAACAACAGCAATGAAGGAAATAAGAAATGCCAAAAGTAGAATTAACAAAGAATAGTAGATAGAACAAAGACATCAGCAGCATTCCAAAGAAAAGAGCAGCCTGCAACACTGCATAACACACATGGATACATACATCTAGAGGACATCATGCTGAGCAAAAGAAATCACAACAAAATGCAGCATGAAACACAACATCCAAAGACATTGTTGTTATGTGCTGTCAAGTCGCCTCCAGCTCACAGCAACCCTATGCACAACTCTGAACCCTGCTCTGTCCTGAGTCAACCTTATTATCTCTGACACACCTACCCCTATTACCCGTCACTGAGTCAATGCATCTCATCCAGGGTTGCCTTCTCTCCTGCGCTATCCTTCCACTCTCCCAAGCATGATGTCCCTCTCCTTGCAACATGCCCAAAGTATGTAAAACGAAGCTTCAGAATCTTTGCCTCCAAGGAGCAACCTGGTTTCACCCTCTCCAGGATGAACCTGTCTGTTCTTCTAGTGGTCCATATGTTCAAGACTCTTCTCCAGCACCACAGCTCAAAGGCATCAATTCTCCTTGTCATCCCTAGTCATTGTCCAACTGATGCATACCACTTAACAGCAAAGACCATTTGTAAATCTCTAGATTTACACTGTTCTTCTTCAGTACTCTGGAGAGGTCCCTGACAGCAGATTTGCCCGATGCAATTTGTCTTTTGATTTGCTGGTTGCTGGTACCAAATGTTGATTGTAGAGCCAAGCAAACTAAAGCTGTTAATAATCTCAATCTCTTCATCATCTATCACAGTGCTGCCAATTGGCCCAGTCGTGAGAATCTTTGTTCTCTTGATGTTGAACTTCAATCCATACTTAAGGTTGCAATCCTTGACCCTCTGCAGCAAGTGCTTCAGGTCCTCCTCAGTTTCAGCAATGAAGGTTGTGTCAGCTGCACAACATAGATTGTTGATAAGTCTTCCTCCAATTCTGATGCCACATTTCTCCTCATAGAGCCCAGTCTCCCAGATGATCTGTTCTGTATATAGATTGAAAAGGTACGGAGATAGGACACATCTCTAGCATACATCCTCCCCAATTTTGAACCATGCAGTGTTTCCTTGCTCTGGTCTGACAACTGCCTCCTGGTCCAAGTACAGGCTTCGCATAAGCACAATCCAGTGTTCTGGGATTCCCATTCTTCTCAGAGTTAGCCATCATTTGTTGTGATCTACACAGTCAAATGCCTTTGCATAGTCAATGAAAACACAGACATTCTTCTGGTGCTCTCATTATGCTGTCGTTGTTATGTACCATCGAGTCGTTTGCGACTCACAGCGACCCTATGTACAAGAGCTCTATATGCTCTTCTATCCTGTGCCAACCTAGCCATCTCAAATGCACTTATTTCCACCTCTCCAGTCACAAAATCGATCCATCTCATCAAAGGTCTTCCTCTCCTTCGCCGCCCCTCCACTCTGCCAAACATGATGTCCCTCTCCAAGGACCAGTCCCTCCTTGCAACATGCCCAAAATATGTCAGACGAAGCTTCAGAATCCTTGACTCCAGGGAACATTCTGACTTCACCCTCTCCAGGACAAACCTGTTTGTTCTCCTAGCAGTCCATGGTATAGTCAACACTCTTCTCCAGCACCACAGCTCAAAGGCATCAATTCTCTTTCTATCAACCCTATTCACTATCCAACTCTCTGATGCATAGCACGTAATTGCGAAGACTATAGCCTGGATCAGGCGCATCTTAGTCTCCAGTCTGACACTGTTGCTCTTCAGTACTCTTGAGAGGTCCCTCACAGCCTACTTTCCCAATGCAATTCGTCTCTTGATTTC